AAAAATAAACAAAAAAAAAGACTTAATCTATCCAGAAAATTATTATTTCAGCTTGACATTTATAATTATTCAAATAAATATATTGATTCTAAATCAATATATATATATGTGAATGTTAAATTATGCTTGCATGACTTGCTTCTCTTTTGATATTGTTCACATAGAGTTGGTATTGGATCAGGTTCGGGGCAGGTTTGCTCCTACCGAACCCGATTCGATCTGAAATTTTTTTATTTTTTCATGCCCGATTTCAATTCGATACTATATAAATCATATTAGATTTAATCCGATCCGAAATTTATAAAATATTATTTTTAAAATATAATTATTTAAAAATATAATTATATAAATAAAAATTAAATAATTAATTAAAAAATAATTTTTTATATAATATAGGGTTGGGTCGAGTTTGCCTAAAATCAAAATTCGATTTTTTCATAATCTTACCCAACCCAACCCGTAACCAAAATTAAAAAAAAAGAAATCGATCTTATATGATTGAATCGGATCAAAATCCATCATGGATTGATTGGATTACCGACCCTATGTCCTCATGTCCCTTGCTTGAAAATGCCGCACCAATTTAAACATAGCTAGGTGCTTACGTTTCGATAGGAAAGTCCAAATTAAGTTGGTCGCATCATAAAATTATTGCTGCCGTAAACCTCATTTCTTTTTTTTTTATTTAAAGATAAAATACATTATTTGTTAAAATCGTGATAATTTTAATAAGCATAAAATTTTATGTAACTAAGACTTATAATTCTCACGTAGGAATCTTATTTCCTTTTTTAATTAGAATATTGCTAGTTTTAGCTTAGATAGAGAGTTACTTAATTTGGAGATTTTAGAACACCAGCCAACCATTTCTCTATAACAATAATAAAAAATTTATGCGAATTAGTTTAAAAGTACATATCATATATTATAATCAATAATGATTATCAAAGTTATTGATTTAATTAGTTAAGATTTATTTTTTTGATGAAAAGTAATTGAATTTAAATTTTATCGGTGTCTACTTATTGAAATTATTTTGAATATAATACATATATTTATTTATCTTAAATTATGAAATACGATACATTTTATTTTAATCTAAAAGATTGAACAATTTTAAATAAAATGATAATTTTATTTAACCATCAAAATTTTATTTAAAAGAAGCAAAAAAATCAATGACAATTATTATTATTATTTTTATTATTCAAACATGACTTGGATGTCGATAAATGGAAATGGGATTTGATGATTTGGATATCTCGATTGCTCGCAACTTCGAATTTCTCCGGTTCTTGGTCGTTGGGTAATGAGAAGCCGGTGAGTCGTTAACCAAAGGGCGGCCCACGTGAAGCATAATGCAAGGCTTTTCGATTGGGTTCAAGCCTTTTGTGAACGTGGACCACGCGAGGTTCTAGAAAAAAAACTTTAATTTCATTTATTTTTTAGTTCGTTTTTATTTGTTGAATTTTAAACAGTATTAAAATTTTATTTCTTTAATATATCCTAAAAAGATATGTGTTAATTTTAAATTTTTACGGTTTATAACGTAATTTTTTTTAATAAAAAAATCCTACACTTTTTTCTTTTTTTTATTCCTAATAACACTTAGTTTTAAAAAACATTAATTAAAAGTTTTATTTTTTAATAATGGGTTAGGCTATGTTCGTTTTGCTACAATGTAATTAATGCTCATAATTTCATTTTTCAACATTGGTATATGAAAGGAAAAGATCTTTTCGATTGGAAAGTTTAAAAAAAAAACAAAGGTTATTCCTTTCATATGGAGCCAATGCATGAATAGTTTCCCTAGTCAACTAAATCAACTTATGTTGAACTAAGACTTGACCATTAGTTATCGACAACTATCATCAACTGATCATCTAAAACTTTTTTAACAACCATCATTTACTTTTATGTGTAAAACAAAACAAATAGAATTTGAGTATAATCAAATCGATATATTATTAAATTAAAGTTTGATTTAATTTAAAATTTTGATACTTGAAATTTTATTTAAATTCAAATAAATTTTATTTTTCTTATTAAAATTCAAGTTAGATTTGATAAGTTCAATCAAGCTCGATAAAATTATGAATATTAAAATTAAGTATCATAGTTTTATTATTTGATTATTATATATAATAAATATATTAAAAAATAAAAATCAATTAGATTTATAAATTTTTTAATCAAATATTAAATTAATCAAATTTAATTCAACTCGTTAAATGAATAGTTTAAATTTAGGTTTAGCTTGATAATAAATAAGTTAAACTTAAGTTTTTTTTATTTTAAATTTAAAAAACTCATGAGTAATGTGACTCATTTACACTCCTTATTTATAATGATAATATACTTTCATTAATTATAATTAGTTTAAGTAGAGTTCAATTAGTAAGAGAAGAAATCTCTTTTAATTAATTAATATTGTCATTAATTATTCATAAGAATTAGTTCAGTTAAAAGGGAAAATCTTTTCCATTTTAATCTAGATTTGATTTTTGTGAAGAATATTTCAAAAATAAAATTATAAATGCATCGTGTTAATTTGAAAAAAAAAAGCATTTTTAAAATCATTCAAAAATATGATTATTTAAGCAAAATTTAAAAATATCTCTAACATTTTTCTTTAACAAAAATGTCACTAATTAATTACAAGCTGTCAGTCACAATTTAATCCTACACATTTCAACAATCAACGATAATTATTGATCATTAACCACGAATCAATGATAATAATCAATTGTTTGATTATCGTTAATCATCAAATTTTGATTGCTCGTGATAAATAATGAAAATGAATTATGAACAAAAGAAAATTGGCCATGAATAATTGCTTATTAGAATTTTCTGAAAATCTAAACCTACTCTCTTTTTTTTTTTTTTTCCTTTTTCATTAACAAATATAATTCGAACCCAAGCCTAATTGCTGAGGTTTGGCAGGCAATACTGTCGTGAACCACGCTCCATATCTCCTCTCAAAGTGTCAAATGGAAACACAAGTATTTATAATTTGTAAATTTTTAACTTTGTGAGGTGAAATGTTGATGCCATGAATATGTGTTTGTTTAAAAATCGTAGTAGGGTGGCCAATACGCGAATACTATTTTTAGATATAGATCCATTGCATGTAGAGTTGACATCGGGTCGGATTTTGTTCGCCCCGAATTTGATCTAATTTTATGTGTAATTAAATCTGAATATGATCTTACTTGAATTTTTTTTTGTTCTTTTATATCCAAACCTGACATCGACCCGATATTATATAAATTATATACGATTCAATCCAACTCGAAATTAATAAAAAATTTTTTTAAATATAAAAAATTATTTTTCAAATATAAATATTTAAAAATATCATTATATAAATATATAAATAAAAATTAAATAATTAATTAAAAAATAAATTTTTATATAATATCAAATCGGATCGAGTTTGCTTAAAACTTGACTTGAAAAACGAAATAGAAAAAAAAATTGACCCCACAATATCGGGTCAAAATCCGTCAGAAACGAGTTGGATTGCCGATCCTAATTACATCAGGATTTTGATTCACAAAATTAAACTTTGCAAATTGTAAAATTAACATAATTTTCACACTCATTTTAAAAATTTTTATTAAAAAAAAAAAACAATTTGCATCCATCAAAAGATTCTCCCTTTAGATTTAGTGGATATAAATTATAGGCCACATGCGCCAATGTGTTGAAGTAGGCAAAATTAAACAATCTTGGTGGCAAATTTTTTATTTATTAGTAATTTCAGAAAGTCTCTACGTTGGAAATAATTAATATATATTAAATATGTAGTAAGGTTTAATTTTCAATTTTGGAATCAAATTCAAACAATTTGGACCAAAACCTACCATTCTCAGGGCATGATTTAGTTAATGTTCTTTAAGTCATGTCCGTAAGTTTTTTTTATTAAAATTATTAAATAAAAAAAATTAAATTTTAAATTATTAGATTAAAAAATCTTATTACATAAATAAAAATATACAAAATTTTAAATAATTTGAATGTATTTTAGTACTTTCTTTTAATAGGCATTTTTATTGAAAATTTTTTATAAAATTTTCATTATCATTCAATAAATTCATTAAATTTTGCGTATAAATGTTATTTTTAATTAACTTTTTACATATTATTAGTTTTCTCATTAAATTCTATCAAAATTAATTTTTATTTTATTGATTTTAATAAAAAATTTACAAAACCAACCTAAAAACCTTTAAATAAATTCTCTCCAAAAGCAATCATGTCTGTTGCTTTTATTTTCTCATTTAAATTTTGATTTCAAAGGAGAAATGGAAGAGGAGAGATAACATAAGCAGTGATGCCTGAAGACTGACGAAATTAGAAGATTCTTTTCCACATCGATTGAAGTCTATATTTTGTTGGTCACCAAAAAAAAACAAAAAAGTCTATATTTCGACAACACCTGTTTTAATTCTTTGGTAAAACTCAAAGCCAAAGAATTGAATTTATTAAAAAAAATTAAATTCCAATATTTGATTCAATAATAAATATATATTTTTTAATTCTTTGCTTTGTCAAAATTTTTTTGAAATAAAAAATATATATAATACAAGTAACATCTAAATTTTATACAAGCAAGAGCAGCCATTTCCGACATGTTCCAAAGGCTCTTCCTCTCTCTATGAGTCTGGAACATGTAAGAGTTGACTTTATAAAATAAGACTTTGAGCTTTGAAAGATTCGAAATAAAAAAAAAATTTTCAACTCTCAAATTAAATAATAAATATTAAGAATTACTTTTTTAGTGAATAACATCAATTGCTGATAAAATTTAGGTTTTTTTTTATTTTGTAAAAGTCAATTTTATAAATACTAATTTTAAAAAATTTTAATATTCTTATTTATTTGGATGAGTCTTGAGATGAGCAACTTAGAAAAAATATTTCATTAAAAATTTTCATAAAATAACTTCCCTAAGAATGATTTTCTGTTAGATAGTCCTTGGGGAAAAAAATTAAATTCCTTGTAAATTACGTTATGATTGGAAAAGATGGATTAGTTTTCCTTGATTAACTCTTGACATGTAGACTCCACGATTCAATTTCCAGCCAAATTGGGCAGAAAATTTTTCAAACGATTCCGTGCAATAACAGGTGATCAGAACTTTTTTTTTTTTTTTTTTTTTTGAGGATACAACAAATTTCACCAATTGCAAAGTTATAAATGTCACATCATGAATTATTTTCCTAGCAAGAAATGTTAACCAAACACCCAGATTTTCGATGATGACTGTTGTTCCAACTATGAAGGGACAAAGATTATTCTGACATCAAGCGTGACATAGACTGCACCTTTAGAACTTTGTTCGATTGTGTTTTGCCTGTTGTACAACATCTTCAATGAAAAATGTAATGTTGAGGTAAGAAGATCCACCATGTTCTACTGCTTTCTCTGCTTGAGCTGCAAGCCTTTTTGCCCTTTTTCTTCTTTCTTCTGCTTCCTCTCCTCCACCCATTAACTTGTTTATAGCCTTCTCAATGTCTTCAGCCTTCACCAACGCCCCAAACGCGTTGTCTTTTTCCCCAAACTGCATAGCAACTTGCTGAGTCCCTACCCCAACTCCTATATCTAGTACTTGTACAATGAGTTTTTCATTATAAAACTGCTCGGCAAACAATGGCCATGTAATCATTGGAATACCAGCACAGATTCCTTCAAGCGTTGAATTCCAGCCACAGTGTGTTAAGAATCCTCCGATTGACTGGTGAGATAGAATTAATACTTGTGGTGCCCACCCCCGGATTAAAACGCCTCGTCCTTTAATCCTTTCCTCGTATCCCTCTTCGTCTAACCATTTATCCATTTCTTCTTTTTTATATCCTTCTCTTAAAACCCAAATGAATGGTCTGTTTGACGCTTCCAAGGCTTTGCCGATCTCAATTAACTGTAAAGATGGTATGCGGCTGAGGCTTCCAAAGCAAACATAGATTACAGAGCCTGGTGCCTGGGAATCAAGCCATTCCATGCATTGGTTTTCATCTGTTGAGGGTATCCTACCCCGTTCAGCCTTATCTAAGCTCTCTTTGTTGCATAATGATACAGGACCAATGCACCAAACTTTAAATCCAGTGGCCTCTCGATATGCCTTTACGTATTCTGTTTCCAATTCCTCGAAACTATTAAGTAACACTCCAAATGCTCCTGCCTCAGAAGCTTTCACTGTTTGGCGGAAAGTTTTCAAATCTTTATTGGAACCTGGATTGAAAGATGCAGGCAGCTGTGCTTTTGTGAATTCAATTCGATCAGGTAATCCTGGTATCACAAAAGGTTCTGAGTACGACAAATGCTCGTAGACCTTAGATTTGTGCAAAATGTGAGAGCATATATGAGTGAAGCAGCTCGTCCCATCAAATAATATCCTCGGTATCTGGAACTTTGAGGCAGTAACAGCTATCCAAGGGATATTTTTGTCTGTCACTATGCAACTTGGAAGTGGTTTCATCTCTTGCAATGATTGCTCAAGGGGTTCCTGCAACATGCTTTGTGCTGTCAAGAATTTGCCTATCAAGTCAAGTGAAGGTAGCTTGTCAATGCTTTCACAGCCTTTGGGCAGGCCAACCTCAGTCGAGGGAAATTGGAGTTGTAGGAAATTGATCGGTAATCCTGATTTAGCGGCGCGGTCGATGATGGAACCAAATCGAGTAGCGTTTAGCGGGGTTATAACCATGGTGACAGCCACTTTCCGCTCTCCCAGTAATCTAGCAATATCCATCAGGGGGATAATATGGCCTGGAGTCATCAAGGGTATGAAAAGAAAGTGAGGTTCATAGCTTTCAGTTGTCATTGCTCTGTGAATTTCTCGGCAAAGTGAATGATTTGGAGGAATGACCGAATGAGTAATATTGATTAAATATATAGCAACTAATGCTTACTGATTTGAGTAATCTTGATTAATATAGCAATTAATTAATTTGATGTCGGCGATTGATTTGCTGACATGATTTGTCGTTTTTGCGGTGCTTGTGACGTATGTGCCTACATATGCATTTGGATAATTAAACTTAAATAAATGTTGTCTCACTGCCTCAGAGCCGTGCCGATTTGACTCTCAGTCTGCCCGTTTCTCATTCTGATCTTCAAATGCTGTCCCATTGGGCAAATTAACTTTTGGGTGCTAAACGCACCTCACCATGGCTTCAGTTCAATCCAAATGGGGCTTAGAGTCTGTTGGTTCTAGTTAATGTGTTAAGATTACGATAATTTTGATATCATTTATTAGATTAAATAATTTTAATTTAATTATATTAATAAAAATAAAATTAAATAATCAATTAATTATCAAAAATGATAATTTAATATAATTTGATTTAATTAATTTATGTTTACGAATAAAAAAAAATTCATTAATTATAAAAAGTTAAACATACAATCAAATCAAGCATTCACTATTAATACTTATAAATTTTTTCAATCTTTTTTAATTTTATAGAGTATTATCAACTCAAATATACACATACTAATGTGTATTCATGCACCATACTTATATAGATTTTCTTAATTTTTTCTAGTCCACCTATAAATATTCAAATATACACACTCATAAAACGTAAATCTCTAATAATTTTATGAGGTGCTATCATATAAAATCTTACAATTTTTTTATATCTTTTTTCTTATACCTAATCTTATAAAAACTTTACATATTTAAAAACATATAAATTTGTTTATTAAAAATCTATTTCCTTTTAAAAATAATTTTTACATGTTTTTTTATTTATCAAATAATATTTAATTAATTTCAAACAAATTATTTATGATATTAGTCATTATTTTCAATAATCACAGCACAAAATTTAGATCAATGATCAACCCAGTGGACTCATGATGATAGTTATATATCAAACACGAATAACAGGATTAATCCAACTGCAGCATGCAAAACATTTCCCATGCTTTCAGAACTTCTGGCTGATAAAGGCAGAAATGTATGATTAGGCTTATTAATAGTAAACTAGGTGAACCTCACCATGAGGATTTTCTCCATATAATAACATTGATTTTGGATTGATATCTTATGCACTTTTATAGATTTTTAAAAGCATTATCGGTGTTAGGTCTGAAATAAAAAATATAATAACATAAAAATAATATATCATAATAAATTTATAATAATAGATAATAATTAACAATCAATAATACAAAAAAAATAAAATATATCAAAATTTATATGAAAAATCTTTCAATATAAAAAAAAAATTCATGAACCATAAAAAAATTCATCATTATCAAATAATAAATATATAAAAAAATTTTTTAACTAAAATTAAAATTAATCAATAACTAAAAAGATAATTTAAAAAATATCACTAAATAAATGATTCAATAAATATTCTTTATATTTATTCTTAAAATAAAATATAATTTTTACTGTTTAAAATATAAAATTTTAAATCATAAATTTATTAATAAAATTTTAATTTAATTAGATCACAAATTAATTTTCATTCAATTCACTTTTCTTTTTTTTTTTTTGCTACTTTTTTAATCTTTTCTTCTTTCTCTGGATTTCCGCGCTACCACTTTTTGTTTCTCTATTACACAGTCCTCTTTTATTAGCTAAGGCGATTCTTTTAGATAAAAAACAAAACTTTTTTTAGACCTTAATCGATAAAAACCAATATGGCTAGACCCCACTCTTCCTTACAATTGGATAGGTTCATCGTTCTTGATATGAACAACCAGCATTGGAGGCAAAATCTAAATCATCAATTATTTTGATGGTCACTGTCGTATAATAATTATATTGTCCTTGACAGGTTGAAAATGAAGATTATCAGTGGGACTGCGAATCAAATTCAAATTTGAGTTTGTCTGCATCAGGTAGCATGTGTAAGTGGGACTGAGAATCAGATTCAAATTTGAGTTTATCTGAATGACGAAGCACGTTTAATTTCTATGCTTGGACACTTCTAGATGACCATTATAGATCTAAATACAATGAATCTTAACTCCAAGGAAAGAACAAAAAGAAAAAAAATCAAAAGCGGTAATGCAGACAATAAAGTTGTCTAAGACAGAGATATGCTTAACTAGCAGTCTAGCACAGATTCTGTTCAACATATATCTTGATTCATTGCTATATTCATGGTTGCAATTTTATGTCCTCCATTTTTATCTTCTTATAATTGTATGTAAATACCTAGTATTTGTAATATGTTTTCCATTTTACAATTTATTTTAAGGTTTATGGACTACATAAAAATGCTATATAAATATTGTTTATGCAAAATGCAAACTATTCCTTCTATTCCATTTTTTTGGGTGCATAATTCTATTCCATTCTTATTGTTGTACTTCTACCCTTTTTTGGGGCAAACTTTCTTATCTTGGGAATGTATGCACACTAAGCGGGAAGCAAACAAGGTAGCACATTTGTTCGCCAAAGAGGCTTTTGAGAGTGAATAAGACGGTTTACTGGGTTGATGAATGTCCAGACTTCACTGTAATGGTTGCAGAAGACATTTCATGATAATGAGAAAAGCTACTTGCCTTTCAAAAAAAAAAAAAAAGAGCAGTCTTAATCCTGTGGTCAAATGTTAATTAATGCAAAAGATACTGCTTCTTCCACTTATGGCACCTTTTTAATGGAAAATCTATACCTTTAAATCTCTGACTGAAATGAATTTCAATTTATTAATCTCTAATTCTTACCAAAAATAAATAGCTGGTTTTGTATAACAAACCCACCGCCGATGGCCGGTACCTGAAACCTGAAGTTCAAGTTCAATGGCTTGTAAAGCAGTTTTCTGTCAAGTCCTTTTTTATTTTCTGTCAATGGTATCAAAGGCATATTGTAACAACGTTTAGGCTCAACTCAATTGGTGAGAGACCTACCCCCTAATTGCTAATCTGAATTTTTCAGGTAGATTTGTACGATGGGATATAACCTTCAATTTCGACAATGAAAGCTCATTCTCAGTGTAGTCATCAGCCAGCCCTTGGCGACTGTGATCCCGAGAGAGGACCAGGCACATTGGAAATATTCTCCATGCCGGACACTTGGACTGGTAGCATTTGGATACGGACCAAGTGCTCCCATGATGCGACCATGACTAACTTTACTTGTGAGACAGGAGACTGTGGGTCTGGCTCAATGGATTGCCAATCCCCACCACAAAAACACCCTGCGACACTCCTCAATTTTGGTATTAACCAAAATGTGGTGTCTTATGAAGTGAGCCTGAACCATGGGTTCAATGTGCCCAGTTTGGATTCAGCCACTAGGCGGCTCATTGATTGAAGGGTCCGGACCATGCCCTGTGGTAGACGGCATCAAGGATTTGAAAGATGTGTGCCCTTCACCATTGGAGGCTCAAAACCAAAATGAAGTTTATGTGGGATGCAAGATGCAATAGTCCATGCAACGCATTGAAATATCCCAAATATTGTTGCACTGGAGGCTTTACAGGGCAGGCTTGCCAGCCAAATGAATATTTAAAAACATTCAAGCAAGTTTGTCAGTTGGCTGTTGGCACATACCCATCCAGCAGATAATGATCCCCCAATCGACAAATGTAGCGGGGCTAATGCTTACGATGTTACCTTCTGTCGTTTATAAACTTGTCAACGTAGGCATGCTAATAAACTAGGCCTATGCAGTTTGACTAGCTGGTCTCTTTAGTTTGATGGTAAGAGGATAAGACTAGTAACTGCCAACATTCGCCGACAATCAAATACTAATTGCATTTTCCTCCCTTCTTATCACACTTCAAAATCCGTTTAATTTTTAGATAAGAGCATATATGTGTTTTTTTTTTTTTACGCATTTGGATTATACTTGAAGCCTTTAATGCCTTGACATTTCATTGCATATACTGGAGAAACTACCCTTCGTTGTTATCTTGACCCTGTTTAATTTGGGACAGGTAAATGGGCTCCATCTACCTCAAGCAAAACCGGTAGTAAGAAAGAACGCAAGCCTGCAAGTCACCTGGATGTGAGTTGGCACTCAAATTTTGGTCGACTTGTCTTCAACTACTTGCTAGTTGGTATCATTAATGCCTTCATAAAATTCCTATCTATTTCCACCGAAATCTAACAAAAGAGGTCGTCGACTAAAGATAATGCGATACCTTGGTCTCAAAGCTCCAATGAGATCTCAGTTCTAATTTATCACTCCTGTAATAATAGTTTAAGGTTGAGTATTTCTTTGGTTTTTTTTTTTTTTTTTTGTTTTGGTGATTTCATAGCCATTTAAGGTACATCAAAAGGATAAGCTAACTCAACGGGCTGAGGATAATTGAGGACCTGCATCTGTTAGAGTTCCTGCCCAAACTGTGCACGGGTAGTTGTTTCTAAATGTGAATGTAGCTGATTGAGCTACTGCAACAAAAATAGCTTCGTAAGGCAAGAATTTATCACATTTTTTCTCAACCCTAATTCATGGTTACGACATTAAACGAAGAAGAAATATTAATGCATAGCCATAAGTTGTCACGTAATCTAAACATGGATTAACACATGGGAAACGGGGGGACAATACGAATCTCCATAAAGGAAACGACAGATTTCTAGCAGTTTTTGTCTGTCTCCCAATCAATGACCAAACTAAAAATCCTCTTTTCCAACAAAACCCAAGTTTCATGCCAATCCTCGATATTGGAATTTGACATGTAACTTCCAAAAGTGTTTACCGAAATAATCAAATGTCACATAAATTCTTAACAAATTGATAAAGTATTAAAATCTTAATTTTAATAATTAATATTTAAATCTTAACAAATTCAAATAAAAAAAAAAACCAATCTTAATTCCCTATAATTTTCTCTTTCCTAGTCCAAGTCAATGGTTCACTAAACTAAACTTAGTTGAAAGCGACGTACCTCCCTTCGTATTCTGCCAAAAGCCGGTTCATTTTCCCGATAAAAAGAAAAGAAAAGAATTTGGTGACTGAGAGAGAATAAAGAATGGAATTTGCAGAGTTGAGAGAAGCGATAGAGAGAATAGAGGTGGTGGATTCTCATGCTCACAACATTGTTCCTTTGGATTCCTCTTTTGCTTTCATCAATTCACTGTCCGAAGCAACCGGCCACGCCTTATCCTTTGCTCCTCACT